GGTGTGTTCCTCCCTCTGGCATAAGTCGAGGGGGACACCCACTCAGCTGACTGATCAATAAAGAACTTGAAGCCGTCTTCTAGACTCCCGTGCCTCCTTGGGGTAATTGGGCAGCTCCAGGGGGGATACGAGCCCATTTGGCTAACAAAACTGAGACTAGACAGATGCAGCAACTTCCCCCAACCTCACCGTACAGCATTTTTAGCGAAGCAAAGATTAGAACCCAGAGTACCCAGCCAGCAGCTTAGACACAAGCCCATCCCTCCAGCTGCTGGCCCTGAGCTTGAAAATCCTGTCCACCTGTGAAAGAAGTTGGTGAGGGCTCAGGCAGGGTAGAAGAGAGACTTTCTGTGGCTAAGGGGTGAGAGGCTCTTTTCCCCGGGGGCAGTGGGGTTTGAGAGGGTGCAGGCTTTGAGACCCGGCTGCAGGGGACTCTGGGATACCTCCCCACAATGCAGTGCTCCAGCATTTCCAAGGCCTAGTTGACTCCGCCCTGAATCCAGGCCAGAGCAGGGATTTGCACCCAGGTTTCCCACATCATGAGTCCAGCCCTGGGCAGACCCCTTCCCCCTTCCCTCCACACTGTGATCCCCCCTGCACTGGATGGGCCGGAGATGCCCAGCCTGGGCCCATGGCGCGAGGGGGCTATTTCCGCCGGACCTCAGCATATACCATGACTGGTGCCTCCAGAGGCTCCCCCCGTTTCCGTTGCAGTTCGGAGAATTCGATGGAGACGTAGTGCAGCTCATCTGGGGCCTGTGCTGTGGCAGCCCTGTCCTGGATGCCTTTGGTCTGGTGGGTGGCTGGAGTCTTGTGATGCTGAGTGAGAAGCAAGGCAGAGACACCAGGCAGAGACTTGCATCCACCCTGCTGAGCTGATTGCATGGGCTGCCCCAGGCCTCGTTTCCCCCACCCTCCGTGCAAATGCATTTTCTGCATCGGGCGTGCACTAGCAAGAGGCGTGGGATTGGGTTTGTTTCACACTCTGCACGCATGAGCTAATCACATGCCAGCACCAGCCCAGTTAACGCATTCACTGCCTCACCTGCACAGGCCATGCATTCCCAAGATGAATGTGGGTGTGTTCATTTTATGCACTATGAATGAAGTATTTCATCACATGCATCTCATTGCAGAACAGGTTCAGGAAATGTATTTTCTGCATTTCATGCACCGAGCACTTGGGGCAACACTGTTTAAGTTAATGCATTCTCTGCATTCCCTGCACTGGCCATGCAGTAGCAATATGCAAGAGGTTGTGTACATTTTATGCACTGTGCATGCATGATTTGATCCCATGCATGTCGTGTTTCTATAGAGGATGCTGATGTGTTCATTGCATTTTCTGGAGAGTGCATATATTTGCAACAGACAAAGTGCTCCCTGCTGCAGGCATTGTCTGATTACGTGTACGTCATACGATAGCAGGCAGCTGCAGAAATGCATTTCTTGCCCAGCTCGTGCATTCGGGTGATGCCCAGGGATTGGCAGCATTGAAGCACCAATCTAGTCCGTGCACTTTGTGAATGCACATGAATGCATTCGATGCATATCCTCCCCTCTGAGCGAGACCCGAGGGATGAGGTGCATTTTCTGCATGCAGGAGCCAATCCCACGCAGTTCGGGGAGCCCAGGTTGGTGGCAGGGATGTATTTCTTGCACCAGGCACGCGTGGGGGGTCGGGTGCCCTGGTGGAAGCCTGACTTATATTTGTGCATTTGTTAAGGGGGTGGGAAGAAGAAGAAGTGGCGGGGGCAGAGAACGGGTGGGGTGGGAAGGGCATGTGGGCTTGGTCCCCCGCTCCCCCCAGGTACATACTGTGGGGATGCTGGTGATGTTACTGTAGATCAGGCTGCCCTCATCGGCCGTGTGCTCCGCCTTGCTCCTGTTAGCTGTCTCCCCGGCCTCTGCGCTGGGGGGCGCCGGCTGCCGGCTCCGCCGTCTGCAGACAAACGCATCAGGACTGATGAATGAGACGGGGGGAGAGGTGCAGAATAGCCCCGTAGGGAGGGGCGTAGAATAGCCCCGTGGGGATGGAGAATGAGGGCACATCAGGGATAATGGAATGGGATCTCAGAGGGGTGTGGGAGGGGCAGTTGCGGGTCAGGGCAAGAGGCTTCAGACTTACTTGATCACACAGAGCCCGAGAAGGAAGAATCCAAGGGCGACCCCCAGCCCACAACCCATCCCGATGAACACCAGCTTGTCAGGATCCTCCAAACCTGGAAAAACACAGAACATGGCTGGAAGAGAGCCCACGAATCCTGGCTCCCAGCCCGCCACTCCCATCCCAGAGCTGGGGATAGAATCTAGAATTCCTGGATCCCAGCCCCAGCCCCCAACTTCCCACCCTGAGCTGGTTACAGACTCCAGGAGACAAATGTCTCACCTCTGTGCAGGGGGCTGAGTTCAAAGTACAGGGTGATGTAGCTCCCGTGGGGCTTGGAGCCGAGGCAGAAGATCAAGAGCCCCCTGTCCCCACTCCCAGTCCAGGTCAGGGCAGAATCATAGAATATCAGGGTTGGAAGGGACCTTAGAAGGTATCTAGTCCAACACCCTGCTCAAAGCAGGACCAATCCCCAACAAAATCATCCCAGCCAGGGCTTTGTCAAACCTGACCTTGAATACCTCTAAGGAAGGAGATTCCACCACCTCCCTATGGAACCCATTCCAGTGCATCACCACCCTCTTAGTGAAAAAGTTTTTCCTTATATCCAACCTAAACGTCGCCCACTGCAACTTGAGACCATTACTCCTTGTTCTGTCATCTGGTATCACTGAGAAAAGCCTAGCTCCATCCTCTTTAGAACCCCCTTTCAGGTAGTTCAAAGGAGCTATCAAATCCCCCCTCATTCTTCTCTTCGGCAGACTAAGCAATCCCAGTTCCCTCAGCCTCTCCTCATAAGTCATGTGCTCCAGATCCCTAAACATTTTTTGTTGCCCTCCGCTGGACTCTTTTCAATTTTTCCAAATCCTTCTTGTAGTATGGGGCCCAAAACTGGACACAATACTCCAATTAGGCATCACCAATGTTGAATAGAGGGGAACGATCACATCCCTCGATCTGCTGGCAATGCCTCTACTTATACAGCCCAAAATGCCATTAGCCTTCTTGGCAACAAGGGCACACTGTCGACTCATATCTAGCTTCTCCATCACTTCAACCACTAGGTCTTTTCTGCAGAACTGCTGCCTAGCCACTTGGTCCCTAGTCTGTAGCAGTGCATGGGACTCTTCTGTCCTAAGTGCAGGACTCTGCACTTGTCCTTGTTGAAAATCATCAGATTTCTTTTGGCCCAAGCCTCTAATATTTCTAGGTCCTTCTGTATACTATCCCTACCCTCCAGCATATCTAACACTCCTCCCATTTTAGTGTCATCTGAAAACTTGCTGAGGGTGCAGTCCACGCTAACCTCCAGATCATTAATGAAGATTTTGAACAAAGCCGACCCCAGGACCGACCCTTGGGGCACTCCGCTTGATACCGTCTGCCAACTAGACATGGAGCCATTGATCACAACTCGTTGAGCCCTATGATCTAGCCAGGTTTCTATCCACCTTATAGTCCATTCATCCAGCCCATACTTCTTTAACTTGCTGGCAAGAAAACTGTGGGAGACCATATCAAAGGCTTTATTAAAGTCAAGGAATAACACATCCACTGCTTTCCCCTCATCCACAGAGCCAGTTGTCTTGTCATAGAAGGCAATTAGGTTAGTCAGGCATGACTTGCCCTTGGTGAATCCATGCTGACTGTTCCTGATCACCTTCTTCTCCTCTAAGTGCTTCAGAATTGATTCCTTGAGGACCTGCTCCATGATTTTTCCATGGACTGAGGTGAAGCTCACTTCTTCCCTTTTTTAAAGATGGGCACTACATTCACCTTTTCCCAGACATCCGGGATATCCCCCAATCGCGATGAATTTTCAAAGATAATGGCCAATCGCTCTGCAATCACATCCGCCAACCCCTTTAGCACCCTCGTATGCAGCGCATCCGGCCCCAAGAACTTGTGCTCATCCAGCTTTTCTAAATAGCACCGAACCACTTCTTTCTCCACACAGGGCTGCTCACCTCCTCCCCATGCTGTGCTGCCCAGTGCAGCAATCTGGGAGCTGACCTTGTTCATGAAGACAGAGGCAAAGAAAGCATTGAGTACATTAGCTTTTTCCACATCCTCTGACACTAGGTTGCCTCCCTCATTCAGTAAGGGGCCCACACTTTCCTCGACTTTCTCCTACTTGCTAACATACCTGAAGTAACCCGTCTTGTTACTCTTAACATCTCTTGTACCTGCAACTCCAGGTGTGAATTGGTCTTCCTGATTTCACTCCT